AAGATATCAAAGGTCAAATTATCAAGCAAGTGAAGAATTCAAAGAATTCCATAGTGGTATCTTAAATTGTAATTGTCTAGATTATGTATGCTTGGGTTGCTCAATTAAAAATACCTTGAGGGTAAAGAGGTTTTCTGAGGATGGATTCGGAGGGTTGCATAAAATGAGCATAGTTCGGGGTGAGTGGGCGAATGTTTATGAGGATCGTGAGTATTTGAAGTATGGGGGGTTTTTAGGAATTTTAGACACAAATGCATGCGTTGCAGTCTTGGCATAATGGCTGGGTTGGATTGGAGTTATTAATGTGATTTTAATGTGTTTAAAATTTAGTTTTGCTTGGGGGCAAGCAAAAGACAAGTGTGGGGTATTTTGATATGTGCATATTTAGTGTGTATTAAGTGTAGTTTATTTATTCATATATTAGCTAAATTGTTGCATATTATGGACAAAAGGTACTTAAAAGTGTTAAATTATGTTTTTCAGTCCAAAGATGAAGCTTGGAAGCGAAAGGAAGCAAGAGAAGCGGTTAGGAGCTCAAGAGGGGAAAGAAGAAAGAAAACACCCATAAAAGGCTTCTACTCGTCGAGTTGCCCCTTGACTCGACGAGTCCGGTCGCGGAATCAGAAGGATAATCATTCGGAAGTCAAGATAGTTATCGGATTACGAAGAATGTGAGAGGGACTCGACGAGTCACCCTATGACTCGACGAGTCGGAACGCATATATAAAGATAACTCTACAATTCGAGAAGAGAGAATTTTGGGAAGTTTCAGAAGTGCTTAGCTGCGAATAAGAAGCCAGAAGAACCCTAGAAGTCGACCAAGGAAGCTAGAATCCAATCCCGAAGAGTAATTAAGGCATAATTTCACCATTCTACTTAATTCTTTTGTTTTGTCAACATGATTAAGCAACTTGAACTTATTTGTTTGCTGTTATTTACCTTAGTTATGAACTTAATTCTTTAGACTTCTGTTTGGGAATACAAAGTTAACAATATGGTTTGATTGATTGGTAGGATTAATTCCAAATTGGTGATTAATTGTTATTTTAGCTTGCTAAAGAACCTTGTGTATGAATGATAATTAATTTTCTGTTAATAGGAAGATAATTGATTAGCATGAACATCTATTGATTATCAACCTCATATGATATGTGACTACTATACCATATGTCTAGGATTAATGAACATGAAACTAGGATTAATAAGGAAATTGAGTAAACTCATGTGCAAGCTTGTAAGATGACCATCAAACAAGAGGTTAATTAAGAATAACGAATTAATTAGCTATTGCAAGTCTAACTTAACCCGAATAATTAACCTAGTAAATATAATTAAATTAAGCAATTGGCCACTGTTTGAATTAGTTAATTTGCTAAGGATTAGGGTAGTGAACACAAACCTAATCACTTGAATCGGTAACCAACGAAAGAATTAATCCATTGCACTATTACCCTAAAATCAACCATAAAGTTAACCGAGTTGAACTAAACAGAAGTTTCTTTCCCATTATTGAATCTAGTTAATTTGTTCTTTTCTAGTCTTGCATTAGTTTTAGTTAGTAAGTTTCTAGTCTTGTAAAACTAGAGAAAAAACCCTTATTTGCTTAATCAACTTAGATAGAATTAGTTTTTAATTTAATTTGTCGTTCCCTATGTTCGATACCCTACTTATTTAGCTATACCACAATTGATAGGTTCACTGCCTTTTGTGTGTTATTTGATAATTAAAGTAGGATTAAAACTAAGTGAGTTTTACACACATCAATCACCTTCTCCATTTTTTCCTTGCACCTTTTTTGCCAACTTTTTCTTTAGTATCCTCTCTGATTTTTTCCTTAATTTGATTATAAGCTTTTGTTCTCCCTTCCCCTATTTAAAAGCACTTGCACCCTCATCATGTCCCTTGCCCTTGGTAACACCACTTCCACCTTCATCATTTTCCTTCCTCTTTTTAACACCATTTCTCCATCATCTTGTATCTTCCTCTTATTCACACCACTTCTACCTTCATATTGACTCATCTTTTCTTTTTACCTTTACTTTTGGGGGTCTTCTAACTACATCACATGTTGACTTGTTGTGCCCTACCTTCTTACAAACACCACAAGCAATCCTTTTTCCTGCCTTTGACACTCTATGTGATCCACTGACCTCTGTAATGTCCATCTTCCTCTTAATAGTGGGGCTCCCTGGCATTTTCCTTTTAAGTGGTGGCAATGGTGGTATGTAGTCTATTGGGGGGGCCACATTGCACTCCCATTCATGCTTCCTATGGAGTACTTATAGGTGTTCATGTATATGGTTGCACGATACAAAGGATCCACAAAGGCCTATACATTCCTGTTTACATAACATATGGCTGCCGCTGAATGAACACAACCATATCCATTCAGCTGCCATACCCTACATGTACATGTTTTTTTTTCTAAATCAACACCATATGACTCTCCTAAGTTTCTTGTCTCAAAGGTATTTAATCCACTAGGCAACACTTGCGAATACCTAAAACATATACATTGTTAGTATGGAAAACATCATTAATATATAACAATGTCACAAATTGAACAAACCTTTGGTGTATCTTCAATTCATTTATGGCAAGTCTTATGTTTGGACATACATCAAATCGTCCCCATCTAATACCTTTTAATCTCAAACTACACATCCTATGCATCACATAAAGTCTTATATCCTCCAGCATAGTGATGATGGGGGCTTCTTCCTTGCATCTAAAAGCACACTTTTGAGGCTCTCAGATAAGCCATTGTCAACAACATCACTTCCCTTTCCTTCCCGAAATAATGCTCTGGGCCATGACTTTGCATTCCTTCCCATAAGATGCATATATGCAGCAGGGATCAACATTTGAACCTCTTTCATCATAGCATTGAAAAGTGGCTCAGTTGATGTCGTACTTGCCTTCCAAAATAGCTTCTCATAATGAGCACCAGGATATTTCATCTTGAAGTTGGACAAAACGTGCCTGACACATTGCCTATGTTCTATGTTTGGGAATAACTCCTTCGCTGCCTCAATTAACCCATGTATTAACATCATATTGACAGTTAGAACATGACCGTATTTAGTAATGCATAATTCACACAAACTTATCTTATGTTGATCTGACATCAATGTCTTACCAAACCCGGATTCAAGATGTAGGTCTTCTTTCAGATTTTCTAGAAGCCATTTCGAGTTGTCCTTATTTTCCACAGCTACCACAACCCAAGCTATTGGGTATATATGATTGTTTCGATCCCTCCCAACAACACATACCAACTAACCGCTACACATTCCTTTTAAAAAGCAACTATCCAAGTTTATAATCCCTCTACATCCACTTCTCCAACCCTACTTCAGTACATAAACACACACACACACACACACACACATATATATATATATATATATATATATCCTGCTAAAGTAGGTTTTCCCATCTGGCATAGAGTTTACAAACATCTTAACTGTTGAGCCTGGATTAGACCTTCTAATCTCGTCACCATAGGACCATAACTTTGCATAATTTTCTATTATGGTGCCTTCAATAAGAGAAATTGCATGTTGTTTTGCTCTTCTACACTGTCCCATACTAACCTCAATGCCAAATTTATTTTTTACTTCTTTTTTTAGCATTCTCACATTCAGTTCTCATTTTCAAGAACTTCCCTTGTGAAATGACTACCAATCCATTTGTAATTAAATATTGACCCTAACTTAAAATTTATGGCACAATTATGCTCATTAATAAGGGACTTGATTTGGAATGATTACTCATCACGCATCCATGAAGCCCATAGCCTAAATGTGCATTCACCATCACAACACTTAACCAACAATATTTTAGGTGATGTTTGTTTTTCCTGAGGCAAAATGTCTATAGTATGTGGACTACATCTATAGACCTCTGCAACAGAAGAGCTGGACCAAACGTCTGCAGTCTGAAAAAAGAAAACTATTTGTTTTTTAACATGTACAGACTACAAAAATAAACTAAAATATAAATAAACTGATTATTTTAAACTACAAAGTGACTTTTTAATATATTTATGACTTTGTTATAAATAATTAACAAAACTAAATCAACTTTTTGTATTATTGTATAAAAAGTGAAAATAAAAATGGTATAAATTAACGTACATATTTGAAAAAAACCAACAATTTTGGTTATAAAGTTATACCTAAACATTGTAATTTGGAATCAAAGAATTTTATATATAAATGAATGAAAATAAACTTCGATTTTTTCAATTAAATCAATTAAAAACATGCCATCAATATTTTTCTAAGATATTGATGATGCTTTATTAAATAATGTTTTATAAAATTTGGTACAAAAAATATAAGAATATATATATATATATATATATATATATATATATATATATATATATATATATATATATATAAACAACTTCAACGACCATTATTATAATAAACTTTTATTTATAAATTTGTCAAAAATATCATGTTTCTATCGTTGAAATTTTTTTTAAGTATTGTAACTTTTTTTTTTCAAATTGTTTATCACTAATAAAGTTGGAATAAATATAAATTTAAAAAATAAAGTATATGTGTTTTTTAAGCTAGAAGATGTCTGAAGATATTAGAAAATTCCGGTCCACATTTGCGCCAAAAAGAGGGCACGCATACATTTTTAGATCTGCAGTCTTCAAAAAAACAAACAGTCTGCGAAGACTAATGTTTGTGTGTAGTCTGCGCCGCGCAGACAGAAGAGGTCAGGAAGATCTGCGGACAAAAAACAAAGACCACCTTACTTTCATATTTTTCATAATACAATTAAAACCCATTGGCTACAACATAATTACAAAGCATGAATTTTAATTGTTTAGGATTGGTAAACCTCATACCTAGAACTGGCAACTACTTCTTCCAAGATATGTCTTCAATGAACCTTGGTTGACCTTTCACATCTAGGACATTGTCATCTTCATTATCTTGTGGGCTTTCAACTTCTGTTGCATCCTCATTTTCATTTTCTTAACTGATTCCATCATACGTTACTCCTTCTATGTTTCTCTTATGTGGACTCATGAACTCAATTAGAGTTAGGTCAACACCATTTTCCATTTCCATTGATATGTTTGACATGACAAAACAATTGTCTTCATTGTAATTTTCTTTACTTACTACATCACAAAATACCTGCAGATGAGTACCAAAATGGTCCATGTACACAGGTAGTTGTACTCCACACCTATACGCAATGTCTATAAACTCTTGATATTCCAGATCATTTGAAATCAATGTTAAACCTTCTAGGATTTCTAAATCCGGTTGACAATAGTAAACTTTCTGACACTTCTCTTGTGTGAATTGTTCAAGAAAACCAATAAAATCCTTGTGAGTCATACCAGCAAAATCGATATCGTCAAATACATGATGAATACCATCTGAGTAGCAAAAAGGTTTGTTGATGAACGCACCTAGGAAATAAACTTTGATTAAGATGAATACAGTCATCGATAAGAATTTTGGTGGAAAGTGGAAACAATGGTTTTTCTTGAAAGAGTTCAACCAAAGTGGAAAAGGGAATACTGAAAACCAGCTTATTTAAAAGATTCAATCTAAAGGTAACACATGTGGCCATTACATTTAATGACATGGCACCGTCATTTTGTGTCGTGGCACCAAGTATATATCTTATACTGTAACAGGTAACAGAAGGACATTTTACAACGGTCATATGTGACTTTATTACCATTATGTAACAAAAAAACAATTAAGTGACCTTTTAAACCCAAAACAACAAGTTTAATGGGCTAATATGACATTTGCCCTTACAAAAAAGGATAATGACATGAAAGAGTAACAAACATTCAATTTTGTTTACATTTAATCATTGAATTTTTTTTCATGCTTGATTTCCCTTTGAATTTTGTTATGGTTTACTATAAATCATATTATAAATTTTGTTAGAAATTACAAAAGCTTGAAGCTATGTTTAAACATATGAGTAATTTATTTAACAATTATAGTTAAACTAGACTATATTGATATTATGTGTAATTAAAATATTAAGAAATATATATATTATTAAAATAAATATATTCTTGTTAGTAACTTTAAATTAATACTTTTTATACTGATTTATTATAAAACATTCTAAGTATTTTAATAAATGATAAACATTATCAAACTTGAGTGTACGAAATTACTTTCGTAATGGATATATTAGTATCAAATAACGGATTTCACATTATTTTATTTAAAGTCGTATCATTTCAATATTCGTTACCTGTGAAAATAAAATCAAACTCGATTTAAATAGACATATTTTATGTGATATTATTTCAATGATATATATATATATATATATATATATATATATATATATATATATATATATATGTGTGTGTGTGTGTGTGTGTGTGTGTGTGAGAGACAAAACTCATTTTTTCAATTCTTTTCATATTTGAATCACAAATATTTTCAAATATATTTTGATCAAAACTTATTTATATAATACAAATACAGCTATAATGTGTATAAATAAGTAGAAAATAAAAAAGAATCGAACATTAATAATCATAACTTAAAAAAACCTCATGAATGTAATGAAAAATAAAAACGCGTGACTAATTACATTAAATTTGGAATGAAAACTATATTTTTAAACTAGAAAACTTTTGAGCTGTAATAGAAGTTTCAAACTCTTGAGTTTAATGGAATAATGTAATATAACTACTAACAATTACTATATGTTATAATAACAATATTATTGGAATTTATCTTTAAAATAATGATTTTAACATTAAGTTGTAACTAATTTTATAATTATTTTAAGTATATGTTAAGATATATATAGTAAGTTGTGTTTGAATTGAATTAAATAAAGTGTTTAATTTAATAATAGTTGTAGGTAATTTTAAATGATTTCGAAATAATTTATTTAAGTATTTTTATTTCATTTATTATTATTATTATTATTATTATTATTTCAAATAAAAATCATTTTTAATGTAATATAATCTATTTTGTAGTTTTACGTTATTTTAAACTATTATTATTTTTATTTAATTAAAAACTACTTGTTTGAAAATTTTTCATTACTATATTTTAAAAAAATTATTATACTTTAGTATTGTATTTTTACTTTTGTTCTTGAAACTATGAAATATTGGAAGACAATGAAAGTTCCAAGTAAAATAGTTATTTGAAACTCAAAGCTATAATAATTGTTAAGTACTAAGAGCAATCAAAAAAAAACATGTTAAGAGTGCACTAAGAAGTGATGAGTGTTACACGTGAAGTATACTTTTATCACTTATATTTTCTTATAAAAATATTAATATTTTCTTTATTGTTACTTTAACTTTACGGTGAAGAACGAATAGAAAAAAAAACTGACTAATGTAATAAGATATAATGGAGTAACTATGTTTATTACGATAAAAAAAACATTTAAAAAATGGATACATACATAAAAATTTTGCGAGAACATAATTAATATAATTTTATAAAATATAAATAATCATTGGTTTTCAACAATAAAGTCATATCATATTTAAAAACATTCATTCTAATTCGTCATTATCACCAATAATTTGGAATAATAATTGTAAACTCTTTTTTATTTAAATCAATTATCAAAATTTCCATCGATGTTATTTACAACGAAATAAACGATAGAAACTAACATAAAATATAACTAATAGCATAAAATACATGTTGAATAATGTTCTCTTTGAAAAAAAATAGATTGTCTTAACTTAAAAGAGAAATACAACATAAAGATACATACATGTTAACAAAGTTAATCTAACTGATAAATAGCTTAAAGTTTGATTTACCAAAAGCTCATGATAAGTAATTATCAGTCTCATTTCATCATCTTGTAATTATAAAAAGATCCATAACACAAAATTTTAAAAAATTGTCTCCGGTTACAATTATTCGTCAATTGGAATCTTTGAAGGCTAGATTTTTTTACGGAGCCGATCTTGATGATAGAATGATACATTGGGTAAGGTGGAATAAAATTATGGCTTCAAAAGGAGTGGGGGTCTTGGAGTTGGTAGTCTCTTTGATTTTAATAGTGTAATGATGTTTAAGTGGCGGTGGAGATTTTTCCGTCTTTTTAACCTTTTGTGGGCGCGGGTCGTCAAAACCATTTACGAGGCTGATGGTGGTCTTTCTTCCCTCTCTCTGCGTGGCTCTTCTTCGGGGATCTGGAATAATCTTATCCGTATGCTTGTTAATCTTATTGACCGTGGAATTGATCTTCTTTCTTTATGCCCCATTAGGGTAGGAGATGGTGTTGCTATGAATTTTTGGCATGACAAATGGTTACTTGACCGCCCTCTTGCTACTTCTTTTCATAGAATCTACACTTTGGATAACCATAAATCCGCTACTGTTAGAGATCGAGTTAGCATTGGTTAGGACCCGATAAATCTTTGTTGTATGCCTAGGGGAGGGATAGAGCAAAGTTAATGGGCTATTTTTTTAGAGATCGTGCAAAACCATCACTTGGAGGATAGGAAGGACAGATTGGGTTGGATAGCTGATACCTCAAACATATTTTCTATTTCTGCAACTCGCTCTATTATTGATTCTAGCTTACATCTAGTTAGTGGTGTTGAGACCAGGTGGAATAATGGGGTTCGTATTAAGCTTAATATTCTTACTTGGAGGATCATATTAGAACGTATTCCTACAAGAGAGAGATTATCATATCACGGGGTTGAGGTGGAGTTTGTTTTATGTCTGGTATACCACACATCTGTTGAGACGATTGATCAAATTTTTACAGGTTTTAGGGAGCTGATTGATATATGGAGCAAGATTGTAATTGAGTGAGATGTTTAATTACCTGAGCATTTTACCATTTTTGATATCCTATCGTGGTCCGATTCCCTTCAATTGAGAGATGGTCAATGCAAGGCTTTTGATGCAGTAGTAATATCAGCCTTTTGGTGCCTTTGGAATTTTCGAAATTCCATAATTTTTGGAACGGTATTGCCAAGGAAATCTTATTTTTTATGATATTTTTGAAAGGACATTTTTTTAATTTCTAATAGGTGTAGAAAAGATAAGCTTGTTTGGACTGCTTGGCTCCATAATCCTGCTTTAGCTTCTATCATATTGTAATGTTTCTTTTTCTAGCTTCTTGGTAGTTTTTAATAAAATCTTACACCTTTCCCAAAAAAAAAATTGTCTCGAGTATATCTTTACACACATACCCAAATTTGAAGCATGGTTATTATATAAAACTTTACATGCATCAAATATGCATTTACTTGCATATTTGGAAAAGTTGCAATTGCTCTCGTACATCCATTAAACCACTCGCATAACTCTTCAAACTCTACCAATATAATTTATCATTTTGTGTTGATATTCGTGCAATATGCAAGTTATAATGTTCTTATAGAGGCTAACCCATCAATTAAATAGCATGATTTGAAGAGTTTTAGAAGTTACAAATCACAACATTTCAATTAATCATAAATTAAGTTATATAAGTTGAACGGTCTTGAAAGTTTCAAATGCATGAGGTTCAAGAAAAAATGTTTGTTTTATAAGATACTAGACGACTTCCCACGCGTTGCGTAGCGCATGTTAAAAATATATTGTTAAAATATTAGAAATAGATGTTTAAAATGGTTATGTTATTAACATTAACTTTGAGATAATATTTTTACACTAATATATATATATATATATATATATATATATATATATATATATATATATATATATATATATATAAAATCTTAATTATTTTGAACAATAATATTCATTGACATCAACATGTATTCCTCATTAACAGAATTAAATATTATTATCTATTTAGTATTATTTTTAATAATTATTATGATTGATTAATTATATTTTTACTTATGCGATCATTTTCTAATTTCAATAATGATGTTCATTTAAAATAGAATTTATTTGTAGCCAAATGTAATTTATAATTTGATGTTATTATCATTTAAAATTATTATTCATTAATTTTAAACCACTTATTATTAATAATAAATTAAAGAAGATTTTTAATAAACACTTAATATTATTATTAAAATGTGAAACATATACTAAATAATAAAGTGATGAGATAGACAATTTGTATTTCAAAAGAGACTTGCATGAATAATATGACATATCCATGATTTTTAAATTTTGATTTTATTATTTATAATTATTGTTCATTATTCTTAAAACCACTCATTATTATTAATAAGTGAAAGAAAGTTTTAAAAAGCACTAATTATTATAATTAAAAGGTTAAATATATACTAAAATATAAAGTGATAAGATAGACAATTTGCATTTTAAAAGAGGCTTACGTAAATAATATGGATAATATGATATATCCATGATTTTTAATTAATTATTGTTTTGAAGCAACACGAACATACAAACATGCATACAATAGTTAATTAAATATATATATATATATATATATATATATATATATATATATATATATATCATATTTCATAACGTATGATCGATAA